ATGAGTTGCATTCCGTCTTCATAACACCTGCATATTTATCTCTGGCATGAAATGTTGACATTCTTGATTATTATTATGATAAGCACAATACAATGTGTTCTGAAAGATGTCTACATCCTAATCCCCAGAACCTCTTACCTCACTTGGCAAAAGAGACTTTATAGATGTGATTACATTAAAGATCTTGAAAAGGAGAGATTATCCGAGATTACACGTGTGGACCCAATCTACTCACATGGTTCCTTAAAAATGGAAAGCCTTTCCCACTTGTGGTGAGAGAAGGATGTGATCTGTCTTCACCTTGCTATGGTACTTTGGTTTTTATTTCCTATAGCTCTGGTATCTTCCAAAATCATAACATTAACTGATATCAACAAATCTTTTGACTTTCACTTAAATAAGCAGACTATGAATTCTTCTGAAAGTACCATTAGTATTCACTCAAGTTAACAATTGGTGGCTTTAATAAACCCTGCAGGATATTCCCATGTGTCTTACATACATCTTCCAGGAAGACAACATATCTTCTCACCAGTCACATTAGTTCTACAAGTGGCTATTTCCACTCTCCCAAACTGAAAAGTCACAAATCTCCTTTACGTCCAGTTTCTTTGGTGCTGATAACAACTATTTAGTTACTTCCCAATACATGTTAACCCATCATATTTTATATAAAGCATGGAATGCTGCTTCCTATGTAGAAGGTTCAATTTTATTCTCTGGAACCTAGCTATTGCCTCTTCTCTGATTTCAAAAGGGTCATTTAAAACTTTTTTTCTTTCTTTCCAATGTTTCATTTTTCTATTGGGCAACCTCAACACTAATTTTGATTCTGCCAGGCCTCCTTAAAATCTTATTATTTCTGTTTTCTTTTCTAGGTTATTCGTTCTGTGCTGTCTAAAGACCATTCATTCTAGTGGTTTATAAGTGTTTCACCTTTTAATTCAGAGCGACTTGCCTACATTTACACAGTACATAATTGGTGGCCTTTCAAGCAGAAAGTTTGCTGGTGAGCCTGGAGTTTTTAAAATGTTCCTAGCTCAAACCCCATAATTGCTTTGGGGTCAGCTTTGCTTCACTCTCTTGAATCAGTCTTGTCTCTAACCAGGAGGCTTTTTAGAAGCCCCCAGGTCAACAGTTTGATTCTTCAATAGTGGCCGAATTTGCTGCAAGTTCTGCAATAACATTGCATGAAAGCTTTTGAACATGAATTCTTGCCTAGTTCTGTGGCATATCCACATGTGCTTGGAAGTAGTAATAATAATTGAGTGCTTACTATGTACTATGAGGTTCACATTCATTATTGTATTTGAACCTTCACAATTACTATATGTGTTAGGTCATATTATTACCCCATTTTAGATGAAACACCAGGCTTAGACGGTCGAAGTAATTTCCTCTTAGTCTTGCAGGTCATAAGAAGTGGAGATGGAATTCAGACCCTGGTCTGTATGAATCCAGAGTCTACTCAAGCATAGTCACTTTTTCTATTCACAGAATATAGGCAACAGTGTCAGTTGCTGAATCCCTTTTTTAAATCTTCTGTTCCCAAACCCAAGTCCTTTTGGATCACAATTCCACATGGCTCCTTTTGATAATCCTCTGGGAGGACTGGAACCTTGGGCCTGGATCCCTTGGACTCTTCTTGATATCTCCTACTGCCTCCCTGGCAGTGCCTACCTAAATGTCTGCTTACTTTCAGCTCATCACTGCAATACCACTGTCAGCCCTACTCTCCCACTGGTTTTCTGCTTGGCGTTGATTTCGTGTTGCCAGGTTAATAGCTCTTCTACTAATACTGTGGCCAAATCCAAGGATGGGTTCAACTCAGGGCAAGTGGAAGTCGGGGTGAGCAGTGGCAGAGAGGAAAGGGAGACAGGGATGCACTCGAGGGGCATTTTTGAGTGCATTCATGTGTGTGAGGACAGGAACCAAATGAAAACAAAAAGTACATATCAACCTTCCAGCACCAACTAATCAGAATGTACATCAACTATAATCCTGGAGCAGGTGCTAGTGGCATGCTACTGTGACACGCGTTACCCCGTTATTGCTGATCTTTGGTGACAGCCCAAGAGATCCCAGGGGAAGGCACTTCAGAATCTTGGTGAAGTAGCCATTTACTAACTGACAGAAGAATTTCTATATTTTAACATAGAATACCAGCCCTATGTGGGCGGGTCTAAGAGAAGGAAGAAAGATTTCAGAGTGAGAAAAATCTCCTATGTTCTCAAAGGTGCATTTGGATGATGTTAAATTTATATATCAAATCTAATTTCAACCCATTCCATTCCTTTCTTTACTTAGTAGCTAGAATAATCTTTTTAAAAACAAATCTGTTCCTTTCATTTCTCTGCTTAAAACCATATGATGGAACCCATATCTTCTTCATATGAGGATTCCCATTTTCTTCCCCGACAACATAAAATGACTTAGTTTGGGATTCATGAAACCACATAATCTAGTCTCTGGATGCTGTTTAACATCTCCCCTTACTCCCAACATATGTGTATGCTCACACACACACGCACACACACACACGTTCTGGAACACAGTGTGTTATCTCAATCACCTTTACCCAAGCAAGATTCCTATCCTGGAAAGCTCCACTGATCCTTTAGTGCTTAACTACGTGTCACTTCTCATGGAAGCCTTACTCCCCATGTTGGACTTCACCAATAAATAACATGTACATTCCTCTTATTGAGCTCTGATTACCTTCTATCATAATTGTTAGGCCTCTCACTTGGAGGTGAATTCCATGTCCACATGTCCTCCCTCTTTTCATCCTTCTGTGCCCTACCATTAGCCCAGTGCCTGAGTCATGGTAGGTACTCAACACATACTCAAAAGAATAAATGCATTTTCTCTCATCATCTCAGTGATCTATGTAACAAATATGTGAGGTTCTGGAACTGAGGCACAGAGGGTTTTATGATTTGTGTGTGGTAGAGTAAGGCTTAAATTCAGTCTTTTGATTCCAGAAGGGAAACGTTGGTGACAATATCATATCTTTTACATTACTCCGATAATTAATACAGAAAAATTGGGTTAGGTCCATTTTGAGATGCATTTTCCCAAAGCAGGATTTATTTATTTTCCTCTCCCAAGTCTTATGCTGAGTACACTCCAGCAACCCATTCTTTAGGTCCTGCTTCCTCAGGAGCTTTATTTGAGATCTCTTTGAGAAGTGTGTCTTAATTACAAAGTCTCCTTATTCTTTATGCCTTGAGTCTTGGTGCTGGTTTTGATTTTTCCTTTGCCTATTGCCCTTCTCCTCTCCTGACTATTGGCCTGCTCTAGGCCTTGAGGTCTAGCTGTGCCATGATTGATAGCTTCCCTCTGAGCCCTGACACTTGACAGGGTTGCTGGGATCCACCAACTCTCCCAGGCACTAAGGACTAGCACTTTCTGGAAAACAACAGCACGCAAAACTTTTAAACCATGGCTTTATCTAGGCCTTATGTGCAGGTGTGCAGCCTGACTTCTGACTATTTGACTATCTTTCAGTGTTCCTCTCCAGCAAGGATGGAGACCTTAGTCCCCAGTTCCTGGATCCCATTCTAACCTTGGCCTGCTCAATGCCAAAATTTCACCTTATTGCCAGAACTCATTGCTGCCCATGGCATTTCATTTTAGATTTACGTTACTTAGAAGTATGGCTGCCAGATAACTATGTATTCCATAAGTAACAGAGAGAACATTCTATAATATTCTATAGAAAATGGAGCTACATAGTTATTATAGAATTCATCATACAGAATTTATTTTATAGAGTATAAAAGTTGCTATTACTACTGCATTATATAAATAATATATAGTTTTCTATAGAAATTGGCTTTAGATGATTCCTGCATGCTGACATTTGTTTCAAGTGAAAAGTAAGCAAAAATAACTGGGGCTGTGCTGTCCAATATGGTAGACACATGTGGCTATTAAGCCTTACAGTATGGCCAGCCCTCACTGACATTTTCTGCAAGTATAAAATGCACATCTGACTTCAAAGACAATAAAAAACATGAAAAATATAGCCTTAATAATTTTGATAGTAGTTATATGTTGAAAAATAGTATCATATAATTTGAGCTAAATATAATAGTTATTAAAATTAATTTCTCTTATTTCTTTTTACTTTTTTAATGTGGAAAACAAAAGCATCTCAAATTACATATGTGGCTAGCTTGATTTTCTATTGAATCACACTGTTACACAGGATATGTCTTGTGGTTCTTTAATATTAGCAAACTACCTATGTATAGATGACATGGAAAGTTAGTTCAGAATTCAAAAGCAGAAAAGGTTATAAACGACAGAAGGAACCTTCTGCCTTGATTTTAAAATTCATGTTCCTTGTACACACTGACATGCCACCTGCCTTGACAAGCTTTGAAGACCTGGTAATCTCAAGAGAAATGGGGCTGAACCAAATGACATTTGTCCACAGCTCCCCGTATAGTGCCTAACCTCAGAGGTTTAAAATCAATATTGTTTTTTGTCATTTATTTTACCCCATGTTTAAACATTCCTTAGATTTATTACCTTTAGGTTTTCGGTTAAGATTCAGTGATGGGTATGATAGCAAGGGTAGTAATAAGTTATGTAGATATCATTTAATTTATGAACTCTGGAGCTCCAGGGTAACTTTCACTTCAAGAAATATATTAACCACATGCACATCACCCTTCATTCTGCAGTGAGGATTTCCAAGCTGGGTCCCTATTGTGCCACTTAATTTATGGTCTGGCCAGGTATATGGATCTCCATACAATATTTCAATATAAGTTGCTCCAGCTAACTGAGGGGATGAAGATGGGCTTCAAAAAAGCCAGCTGGACAGCTGATGGATTGCTCTCCCATACATTGGCCGCAGCATTAAGTAGCTTTTAAAACTTGTCAGCGGTTTGGATCTTTTTCTGCTCTGAGAAGCTGCACACACCGGCCTAGCCAAGCAGAATCAGCCATGCTGCAGCAGGCAGAGGGCAGCTCCCAGAGTTACTTACGTTGACAGCCGTAGTGCCAGGAATTTCCCGGCAGACACTCATCACACTTAGGCCCTGTCGTTCCAGTCTTACACTCACAAAATCCTGAGCCATTACAACGATCATGGATTGAGCCCAAAGGGTTACAATAACACTCTGTAGAAACAAGACAACACACAGGCTGGAGACAAGTCTGCATGGCTGATAGGTTATCAACACAGGAGCGTCATGTACTTAAATGCATCACTTACTTAAAGAAAGATGTCCATTAATGAAATGCTTTGGCAAATATGGCTATTTCACGATCATTTGTTTATTTGCTTAGCCTTCCATGATATCATTTTTATGATATGATATGAGAGGAAATCAACTGAAAACTTCCAAGGAAATAAGACATGCTTTTCACTGGTAACAGATCGTAATGGAGATTCCATTTGTTAGGATATTTTTAGATGGTTTAATAAATACCATGAGAAGTTTGTATATCAAGGATAAATCAATATGCCATCAGTGTAAAATGTGTTTTAAATTATTCAAATGGGCTTAGCCATTGCACTCAGTACTTGAGAACTGCTGAACATTTTAAAAGTACAATATGAATGCATTTTGCTCATTCAAAGGTAGTTTTACTTTATGATTTGGGACAGCACCTTAACTTATTCACGTATATACTATTTTGTGATGAGCCTTTAGATGTTGTATTTGCTAGGCATATCAGTGCAGCTTTTATGCAGCCCAGATTAACAATCATGAAAGAAAAATAAACTTTGTAATAACAAATCAATTTCAACATAGTTATAATTTAAGATGTATATTTTTCATTATAATGTCTGCTGGCAGGACAATATAGCTTTGCAAAATAAAAGGTGAATAGAGTGTTTTTTGATTCCTCACGCATTCTTATATAGGATATTTTTACTTCTGAAGTTCTATCTTGCTTAAAGCTTGAACCAGAAATGGATATCCTTTAGGCTTCTATTAGCTGGAAAGATAGTGCAGGTAGCTTGCAGCTTTTGGGTACTGTGAGCTAAAGTTCCTTTCCTCATTACTCTTCCAATAATTTTGGGGAAGTTATTGTGCCTCTCAGTTTCCATTATTTAAAAATGGGTACATTAAGCAGTTCCCTCACTACAAACCAAACAAAACTATACCATCCAACTAACTGAGAGAAGTCTTGAAAATTTAGTTTAATATAATCAAGTTTAGCATATTAGATTTGCTATGGGGATTCAGGGTTTAGCCTTATGGATGGATCCAGGGGTTTGACTCTAAGTTTGTGTCATGGACACTAATTATATATTCTTCAAATAAATGTGGAGTATCTTAGAATTATGATTTATTTTATGCTAATTAAGTCAGGTTTCGAGTTCAGTATTCTTATAAAACAAACATTTATATGATGAATAGTTATATACGTAGGGAAAAATAAAACTTAATAAACTCTAAAATGCTCTCTCCTTGCCTGGCTTAGTTTGTACTTAACAACTAGAGTTTTGTTTTAAATTAACATTTTCTATTTTAATATGCATGTGTATATGGAAGCTGATTAAAAATATTTTAAAATACTAATTTTGTGAAAGCTTTTAATGTTTGTCTGTACACAGGTACATCATAAATTTGTACCAATATCGAAACTGTAATTTTTTTCACCGTTTAAAGTGTGTAAGTTGACAATGAGTCACCAACATTTTGTAAGCCAGTAAGCAGAGTTACATCTGGCCAACGTTAATTCACATACTCCTCCAATAAGCCCATGACCATTCATTAATATAAGGTTTTAGAGGCAAAACATGTAAACAAAATTAAACAAAACAGTAGAACATTTAAACCATAATATATTCCCAGTCATTGTCATAGGAAAATGTGGGTAAGTATAATGTTTTGCAGTCATGAAAATAAAGGACAAGAAGGGGTGTGACCTTCTCTTCACCTTACATAACAAATAATTCAGTTTTTAACAAGTATCATTTATGGAATGATGGTCAATGGTGGATGCTGGAATAACGCAAAGAGCTTTGGAGGATCATATTTTATTCTATGAAATTAGGAAGAACATCAGGACTGTTAGATTACAAAGTAACATCAAATACCTGGGGGGGGCGGGGCTTGATTTAAAAGTTATACTAGAATTGATTTATAGGTATTAAAAGTGTCTTATATTCAACTTATTCTATTAAAGGTACCTCTGATTACCGGATCATGGGTTTCAAAGGGGAATTAAAAATAATACATCATAATTTTAAGAAATGCTTAGCAGCAGCAGCTGAACTCTGTTTCATTGTGATGCAAAGTTTGTTAGCAGGAATATTAACAGTGATTACTCAAGGTCACAAACCATATATCCTCTAGCTTCCTGCTTAATGCTCAAGTTTACATGAAACAGAAGCATGCAAGGATGTCATGTTCATGTAATTGCTGCGTCATCACAGGGTAATTATATGTATCTTTGGAGACATGTCTGTGTTTGGAATTTGTACAAGAAATGGGCAAATTCACCAGTAATTATGAAGCAGCAATCACGGTGGCAACATGGAATAGCCTGTTGCATTTTATATTTACCATAATATAAAATGATGCAAGTATTTTACAACATCTATTTCATCACACAGAGCTTACATTTTGTCAAAGATATGAATTGTTCCTTCACAGTAAGGGTGGTGAATTTTATTGTCCGTTGTTAAAGAATTGGCAAAGGGTTCTCTTTTTTTATTTTTAATGTAGGTAAGACTTAGATGAAGTTCAAACTTTCCAGGATTAGTGCCTTATTCTGTGAAAGTGAATGGGGTAAATATCCCTTCATTTTCATTAGTGCTTGCTATACAAAATGGTATTAAAATTAACTCTCAATTACTTCTGATGTATCCTTTCAAATTTAATACTCAGTCCTGCCTCAAGCCCTTTAGGAATCTTAACTGTGGAAATAGTCTCATAGGGCAAACCTTAGCAATGGAGCCACAGGCTTCCAACGGCCCTGAGAGGGCAAACTCCAGCATTGTGCACAGGCAGCCCCAGTATCACTGCCCTCAGAGCCTCAGGCAGCGTGAGTGAAATCTACAGCTTTTTAAGGAAATTGTTATTAATTCATTGTCTGTATATAAGCACTACAGATAAAAGATAGACCTTAGTACCTATCAGCTAGCCAGATTTTTCAATTCATTCTTTAAACACAATTTTCTCCTTTAGAAAAGGGCAATAATTTAGGAAATTAGGGTGGGTGAGGGAATAATGTAGCTAAGATTACCTTATTTTATTTTATTTTATTTTATTTCTTGAGATGGAGTCTCACTCTGTAGCCCAGGCTGGAGTGCAGTGGCGCTATTCTCAGCTCTCCACCCTCGAATTCAAGTGATTCTCCTGCCTCAGCCTTCTGAGTAGCTTGGATTGCAGGCACAGGCCACCACACTCAGCTAATTTTTTATTTCTTTCAGTAGAGATGTGGTTTCACCATGTTTGCCAGGTTGGTCTCAAACTCCTGAACTTAAGTGATCCACCTGCCCGGGCCTTCTAAAGTGCTGGAATTACAGGCAGGAGCCATTGCGTCTGGCCTAATGTAGCTAACTTTAATAGTACCTAAGAATGCACCCCTTTGTGTTCACCAAGTACTTCGTTTGGTTTCAAGTATAAAATCCTAAATAGAAACAGGTTTAACTCAATAAAATGGAATTTTCCAAAAGTTTATAATTTTAATTAATAAGCTTTCTAGAAATGGAGAATAAAACTATTCTTGATTTTTAAAAGTAAAAATAAATACAAAATTGATATTGTTTTTCATATTTCTTCTTCTTAGTTTATGTGATTTAAAAGGCAGACGCTGAATGGATTGTTTTCTAGTCTGTAGATAATCAAATAAGGATTCACAACTGAACTATATACCTCTTAAAACAGGATAGAGAGAAGCAGATTTGGAGTTCACAGTGTACCTCAGAACTGGAAAAAAGGCCAAACTTCCTAATAATAAAATACTCTAAATAAAATATACTGTGATATTAAGTTACCTGATAAGAGAAATTTTATGGAATAAAATCTTTTCTTTTAAGGCCTTTATTAGATTGATTTAAAATAATATTAAATATTATAAAACATTTTAATCTTATGTATTTTGTAAAAATGGTTAGGTTTTTTATCCTGTGTTCCTATTTATTTTAGCTTTTTTGTTGTTTACCTATTTATAGCATGACATTTATATATTTTTACAAATGACATTCAGTAAAATGTACTCTGCATTCAAAATTTAGACATCTACATGTCTTTTGATTTTTATTAATATCCTCAAGTCTTTGTAACCCAAGTGTTATGAAGACAATTGAACTTCTGTTCATAAACTCAGAGTGGAATTGCTGCTGTTATTCAAGACGCATACCATAAGTAAAAGTTTGACAAGCTTAGCTTTGCTAATTGTGTCAGTGGTTGAGAGAAAGTGTTTAAGCTTTGAAGTCAGAAACCCTTTGCTGTAAGATTTGGGTCAATCTGCCTTACTCTTCTCCATGACAAGATAGGGGAAATAATTAGTGTAATACTTACCCCACTGTTTTGTTAATGAGGATTAAGTAAAAACAAAACAAGACATCTGCAAGCAGGTTCACAGTTGACTAAGCGTTTCCTGTGCATCCCATTTGATCCTCACCCGACTAGAAGGCTCAAATGACTTACCTATGGCACACAACTATGAGATAGCAAACTGAAATTTGAGCCTAGCTTTCTGGCCTCTAAGTCCAGTACTTTATCTCCTAATTGACAAAAAATAAATAAGGAGATGCTTTGAAATATAGAAAGTACTGTAGACACCAACAGTATTATATATATTTGGCCCAATTTGATTAAAAACAACTCTACAACTATTTTTTGTGACACTCGGATCTTGACGATCCAATCAGAGGACAATGGTCACAGAAATACGAATTGGATTTCTTTTCTTGATAAAAAGATTGCTTGTCATTTTTCAGCTTGTGTATCCTATTGAACATACCTCAATGTGAAAAAGTCTACCTTTAAAATTGGGTGCCTATATAGCTACCTACTGGTGTGATAATGGCTACACATATATTTTTCAGCATTTCAAATATATGCACTGCTTAAGCGTGAATTATGAAGTGAAATTCCATTTATTGTTTCTTATTTTTCCATTGGCATCCCCACATTCTTAAAGACAGGTTTCACTACGTAAAAGGTAGATTTTCTGGGTGGGAAAGGCGCCTGGTCCTCCCTAGATGCCATGAGCAGTAGTCACTGGTGGGGAGGAAAGGTAAAGTGCTCAGGCACCTCTGCGGACGCAGTTTTCCAGGGCTAAGATAATTAATTGCCTAGAATACTTTTGAGAAACTACTCCTCCTTTTTGGGAGCTGTAGGAAAATTCAATAAATGGAATTTCATTGCTATGGATGAAGAAGTCAGACAAACTTTTACATTTCCAGTTGCTAGTTATTTTCAATTTCAAATAGCAACATTTTCAATCTATCAATACTCACTGATCGCCAATTATATACCCCACTTTTTCATATCTATAATTAAATCCTGTATAATGAGTTTCTATTTTGAAAGTTGAATGTATAATTTAAGGCTATAAGATCAGTTCAGAATCATCAGGTTTTAAAATTTCATACAAAAACAAAAAACAGGAAGAAAGAAAGAAAATTCTTAATTTCTTTAACATGATTTCTGAGATCATCATATTTAAAGCAACAACATAAGGATTCAAAGTATATCCCCCAACTATGATTTCAACCAATACAAGTAAATTTTAAGTCCACCACAAGGATATTGACTCCATTGAGAAGGTTCATTCTGGTTCAACCACGGTGCATATCACCAGCCTCTCCACCCTAAATATCTCCCCGTAGCTCAAAAGGCACAGAACAATAGCTGAAATTGTAATGGAACTGACCTATGCACACATTCTCATCGTCCAGTTGTGCAGAAGCATTTCTGAAGTAGCCCAGCCTGCATAACTCACAGTGCTGCCCTCTAGTGTTGTGTTTACAGCTCACGCAAATGACTGTATTTAGCAGATCGATATAACTGCATCGATTGGAGTGGCCGAAGCATTCACAATCTTGCAAGGAAGAACAGAAATGTATACAAAGTGTATACAGTAGCAGAATAATAGCATACTACATGCTTGGGTAAAATGAGGGATGGAGAAAAGATGGTGGAATGGCATTACATATATGTGATTCAACACGACACATGGTGGCAACAGGTGGTTGTGACTGGCATGGAAATAGCATCTGTTTCAAGCGGGATAGAAAGGTCGGACATTCAGAACAAGACTGAAGATTGTTAATTCTTGGCAGACAAGATGAACAGAAGCATTTGCAGGTGTACGCCTTTTAAAATTTGGGAAGCCTCAGTTTCCAGTGATGCAAAAGTCTATTTTTTCTTTTTATTTTTGCAGATGGAGAATGTTACTGTCTTTGCACCATTTCCCTTATTTTCTCTTCATCTTTTCAGCCTTAAAAAAAGTGGGAGGGGGTTCTGTGAGCATTGAGGGTCTGAGTACCATCACCATGGCTCCTGTAGCTCTCTGACATCATGCCAAGACAGCAAATCAATCGGGGTTTCATATACATCATGGCAAATTTAATAGAGTTCTAGACAACTAAACAATTCTTTATTTTGTTTTTCCCCAATGCTAAGAGAAGATGGCTTTCTTAAGCCTTTCTTCACACCAAATCTGTATGTGTATGTGTGACAGAAGACACAAAAAGTCGGGAGATAATTTGTGTGAAAAAGTGCTCTTCAGATTTCCTCCTTTTCTCTTAAGTTTCAAGAATAGTTTGCTATAAAAGAAGACTTAGGCAGCTACTGTAACCCCACATTTCTTTTCCTTGGTTTCTCTAATATGTTAGAGGTGTCTCTGAGGCTTAGGAGTGATGGTGGTAATGACTAGACAGGGAGATGAAGAAGATCATGAGAGTAGTTGGGGAAGGGTGGAGGGTGACCAGATTTCTTCTTTCTTGCATCTCGTCTAGAGCAAGAAGTTGTAAATCCAATTCAACCTTTTTAAAATAAATGGTAATGACAAAGTCTCTGTTGGTAGAAATAATTATCACAAAAGTGCGAGTGGTAACTAGGTGGGGTATCTGTTTTGCCTTCTTGGAATATGGGAGTAGGCCTAGCTGGACATTTATAAGGAAGGTCAACCAGGATACTACAAATTTCGTTTGTTTAAAAATATTTCTTGCATCAATATCTTGCTTTTATTTTATCCCACTAGGAAGCTAAGCACAGTCACTATTTGAACACACATTCATTCTTTCATTCATTCATTCAATAAATATTTTGATTGAGTTAGTCTACCTATGTGTCAGGAAATTGGCTAGGTGTTGAGTTACTATTTTGGCCTACATAAAATTTTTCAAATATTATATTTTGATGACCAGAGTAAAAATGAGTAAGTGTTGTCAAGTAAATAATAATAAGAGGTGGCTAACTTTTAAACTTTTAAAAAATTAATATGCTACCACTCATCAGAAAACTTCGTATTCATTGGTTAGAGAGCTAGTTACTACAACAGGAAGCTGAGAACAAGGTCCTGATGGAATGAAATCAAATTTGGATAGAAGCAGAGGATACTGGAAATGGTGAAGCATAGAAGATAACCAGAAACAGTGTCAGTAACTTTGGGACCCCAGTTGCTAAAAGAGAGGAAAGAAGAAAGGGGGGATCCTGAAGCCAAGCCACTTCCTTTATTTGAGGTGAGCTGTATCACCATGTGTACGTGCACAGGGAGAAGGGTGAGTGTGAGGACGGGAAGAAGTCAGAGGGGAGGCGAGTATGAGGAGAGGGAGAGTACTGGGAGAAGGTGGCCTTGAGACTCCAATTTAGGAGACAGTGTAAGAAAATACCCAAATAAATTTAGTAGTAAAGGCATGCCAGGTTGACAATAATACTACCACCAATGATCATAGAGTTACAGGTTACTAAATTAAAATCCCTTGTAAAACAAGAAGCATTTCCCACCAATCCTCTGTACCGCTCTGAGTTACACCTTATTTATACTGGCATTACTGACTCCTGAGGAAGTCAGAAAGGCTTCTAGAGCCTTCTCTGTTTGAGAGTTTGAAATAAAGACAATCCTTCGGGACTAGAGCCTTTTGAGAGCAGTGATTGAAGGAAGGAAACTCAATTCTCAAACCTAATTGCTTCCCAAGGACTTTTTGAGAACTGCCTGGAGTTCCTGAGGAGGGGCAATAACAGCCCTGCCCCTGGGTCCCCTCCTCCGGAAGAGGTCTCTTACTTGCTGTCCTTCTTCAGGTTCCCTAACCCAGGTTGGTTCTTGGTACATCTAATTGAATTAACAGAGCTTTGTTCAAAAGTATCTTTTATGTGCAAAAATTCATCTAGGAGCTTTCTACAGCTACATAGAAGCTTGTTGCCTGGAAGCTTATTTAGTAAGTAAGACAACATATGCTCAGATAACCAGAACAAAATAGTATGTGCAGAGAAAAAACAGTGACACAAAGCAATCTAAGTAGGAGAACTTCATTTAACATGAGGGGAATTAGAAAAAATGTCCTACAGGACATGCACTCTGAATCTTGCTTAGGGCAGGTAGAGTTTATTAAAACAAAACGGAATAGGAGGGAATGAGCATTTTAGGTGAAAGGAATAGAGTGAAGAGTGGGCAAAGGTATGAAGCTGGGGAAATGTAGAGAATAAGGCTAGTGACTTTTCATAGTATGGTTCCTTTGTGGGTACCTAAAGGATTCTGTAGAGTCTGCCCAATGGCCAGAACTACATGATTTAATCTACCTGACAAAGCTTTATCTGAGGAAAAAACCAAATCTGTAAGATACCCAAGTTTGACAGTTTAAGACCCATTCCATGAATCTCCGTAGAAATGTTAAATGTGATACTATCACTACTATTATCTGAATTTAATGAATAGTACACATTTCTGTGGTGACATTAACTATTTATGGGTTTTGTTGAAAAACTAATTTATTAATTTTGAAAGGAAAAGATAAATAATTGTATAAGAAACCATATTTAGCTAAACATACAATAGTATAACTTTATTTCAAGTGATAACTGGATACTTTAAATGTTTTATAAGCATTAAAATGTTTCATAATGTAGAAAATGGCTAATAATAACTTGATTCTTTTGAGACTTCTAGTACTCTCCTGAGACTTTGATAAAGCTGTTATGTCTGGCCATAATATATTTGAGAAAATAAAATAAGAAACAGATCTTTGAAAGTGATTTGAAAAACATGAGAGTATTATATAAATGCAAAGTATTTCAAATATGACTCAAACTGCTATATTATTTTTTGGTGTTCTGTTCATTTCCTACTTTTTAATACCTGGTCTTTCCACACAGGCACAGAACCTATTAAGATATAGCTTGAGCTGCATTATCCTACTAAGTTTCTGAAGGGATGATATTAATAGCTTAATAATTTTTTGATTCTTCAAATCACTGACCTCCCATGACCTCTCATTTCTTCTTATATAGTATCCATAGTCCAATCCTTATAATCACTTCCTTTTATATAATCCCTTGGCCTTCCACCCTCCAATTATAAGGAAATCTTGATCCCGGTTAAAAGTTGATGCTGGTTAAATTCAACTCTCCAGGAAGTCCTAGCCAGAGCTATCAGGCAAGAGAAGGAAATAAAAGGCATTCAAATTGGAAAAGAGGAAATCACATTATCTCTCTTTACTGATGACATGAACATATACGTAGAAAACCCTAAAGATTCCTGTAGGAGAATCCTAGACTGATTGCCGACTTCAGCAAAGTTTCAGGATAAAAAATAAATGTACAAAAATCAGTAGCATTTCTATACACCAATAACATTCAAGCTGCAAACCGAATTAAGAACTCAATCCCATTTACATAGCCCCCAAAATAAAATAAAATACCTAGGAATACAGCTAACGGAGGAGGTGAAAGATCTCTACAAGGAGAAGTATAAAACACTGATGGGATAAATTGCAGACAACACAAATAAATGAAAAAATTTTCCATGGTCATGGGTTGAAAGAATTAATATTGTTAAAATCACCCATTACCCAAAGCAATCTAAAATTCAATGCAACTCCTATCAAATTTCATTTTTCACAGAATCAGAAAAACCAGTCCTGAAGTTCATATGGAACCCTGCCCCAAAAAAGCCCAAATAGCCAAGGCCAAAGCATTTCTAAGCAAAAGGAACAAATCCAGAGGCATCACATTGCCTGACTTCAGATTATACTACAAGGCTATAGTAACTAAAACAGCATGGTACTGGTACAAAAATAGACATACAGATCAATGGAAGAGAATAATAATAATAAAGCCACATACCCACAACCATCTGACCTTCCAAAGTGGACACAACTAAACAATGGGAGAAAACACCCTATTCAATAAACAGTGCTGAGAAAACTGGCTAGCAATATGCAGAAGAATGAAACTGAACCTCTGTCTCACCCCATACAAATATTAACTCAAGATGGATTAAGGACCTACATGTAAGACCTGAAACCATAAAACTCCTGGAAGAAAACCAGGGAAAAACTCTTTTGCACATCAGTCTAGGCAAAGAATTTATAATGAAAACCCAAAAAGCAAATACAACAAAAACAAAAATAAAAAAAAAAAGGGACTTAAACTAAAGAGCTTCTGCACAGCAAAATAAATAATCAACAGAATAAATAGACAACCTACATAATGGGAGAAGTATTTAGAAATTATGCCTCTAAAGACTAATGTTTAAAATCTACAAGGAACTCAAATAACTCAACAAGAATACAAGAAACCACCCCATTAAAAATTGGGAAAAGGCACGAACAGACATTTCTCAAGAGAAGATGTACAAGTAGCCAACAAACACATGAAAAAATTCTCAGTATCACTAATATTCAGAGAAATGTAAAGCAAAATCTCACTAAGGTGCCATCTTACACCAGTCAAAATGACTGTAATTAAAAAGTCAAAAAGCGAGAGATGTTGGCATGGATGTAGAGAAAAAGGAATACTCATATACTATTGGTGGGAATGTAAATAAGATCAAGCTCCATGGAAAACAGTATGGAGATATCTCAAAGAACTAAAAAGAGA